CATGTTCCAAGACCACAAATGGATGCCTGAAACCTCGGATAGTACCAGACCCTATATATAACTATGTTTCACCCCATACATACATACCCATGATCAAATTTAATTCATAAATTAGGCACGGTAAGAGATTAACAATAATAGTAAAATAGAACAAGTCGAACAATACTCAAAATGGTGTACAATTTAAAATGTATGACTGGTTTGTTTCTGGAATTTTCCTTTTAATATATTTGGACCATGGTGACCACAGGCAACTGAAATCCAAACCATGGATAAGTGGGGGGACTACAGCCTTTGCTTAAAGGGCCTTTTTTTTTTTTTTTTTGAGACGGAGTTTCGCTCTTGTTACCCAGGCTGGAGTGCAATGGCGCGATCTCGGCTCACCGCAACCTCCGCCTCCTGGGTTCAGGCAATTCTCCTGCCTCAGCCTCCTGAGTAGCTGGGATTATAGGCACGCGCAACCATGCCCAGCTAATTTTTTGTATGTTTAGTAGAGACGGGGTTTCACCATGTTGACCAGGATGGTCTCGATCTCTCGACCTCGTGATCCACCCGCCTCGGCCTCCCAAAGTGCTGGGATTACAGGCATGAGCCACCGCGCCCGGCCTAAAGGGCCTTTTTGAAGTTAACTGAAGCCAGCTGTTGCAACCTTGTAGATAAGAACCACTTACCAGCCTGCAATCCTTATTTATCCTGAACAAGCCCTTACAAAATAGACCACAGGTAACATTTTCTACCAATTAGCAGCGCTTACACGAAGCCATTGGTTCTCAAACTTGAGCCTGTTACAGAATCACAGGTTGCTGGTCCCACCTAAGTTTGGGATTCAGTGGGTCTGGGAATTTGCATAAATAACAAATTCCTAGGTGATGCTGTTGCCCTCTCACACTCCCACCAGGGGATCATGCTTTGGGAACCTCGGCACTGAACTGTAATGTTAAGCTGTCATATCAGTCTGAGTCCTTGAAACCAGCTCTCCAGAGTTCATATTCCCCAGCCACCAGAGTTGAGGGGGGAAGTCGCTCCAGATCTTGATCTCTTCTAGTCCCTAAATAACTTACATTTTCCTGATCCTCCAGACATTCAGGATCAGCTGCTGCTACACCTCCCCAATCCCTGCTCCACAGAGGAGCTGTTTCTAGCTTTCCTTCACTTTCTATTTGGCCAGATTTGTTTAATTTTCTCCCTGTTACAGGCAGAGTTACAGGCTGTTCAAAGGAACTAGGCCTCACTGAAGTATGGTGGAGGGGGCTGCTGGCTCAGCCATTTTCCAGTAGTCTTTGATAAGTGAGCCCCCACATTCCCTGGGCAGCAGGCCCCATTCTCTAGGGCTTCTTTGGGTAGACTGTAGCTCCCCCTCATCCTGCCATTCTCTGTGTGCCATCTGCCTCTGGGGTTGACCTTATCTGCTCCTCACAGCCTTCAGAGGACACATTCCGGGCAGCTTGGCTCCTTCCACTCTGACCACCCCAACACGGATTCCTTTCTTTTCTCCTGCGTGTTTTTGAGGCGATACTTTGTTGACGATTCTGGTTGGATATTTTAGGAGGGAGATAATCTGCCAGAGTTCTTCTCTAGGCCCCCTCCCTGTGCCTGCCTGATAATCCTTTCTCCTCCTTCCTTTCCAGCTTCTTTGTAGAAGTTTGTTTTGTAAAATGAGATAAAGGCAGTATAGGAACTAGTTCCCAAGTGCCGCTGTGCCCAGAGAGGGCTAGAGATTGTGGGGTGGAAAAGTGGGAGGACATCCTACAGTCAGAGGTCAAAGGAACGCGGATTAACTCCATCGTCAGACAGGACTCTTAACCTGGGTCAGGTATCATGAGGCCAGGGACTGAACTTGACTTCTGGGAAAGGTTATGTAGAGCTTAAAACAGATGTTGTGTGTACTTGTTGGAAGACCTTAGAGACAATTATAGAAAATTTAATGTGTTTTAGTCATCTTTGCCTTCACTCACTATTCTTGAAAAGGCAGGCTGTACTAGATAGATATTGCTTTTGCTATTAACCCGTCAGTGATGGGGGCCTGAGGCCTGGCTCACCCGCAAGGCCCAGTAGCACTTCTGCTTGCTTCCTGCCTGCCTTTACTGCTAACACTGAGACCCATCAACTTACTGGCAGGTAGACAGAGAGCTGGCATGGGCCCTAGGGAAGTCAAGCTGTAGGTGAGGATGAACTGGAAGGCTTTGACAACTAAGATACACAGTCATAAGCTGGGAGGCCAGAGAGGAGTGGAAATAGTAGCCATGATCCACTCCTGCAAGACCCTTTGTCTGACATGGGGCTGCTTTTACTGTCTCCTACCATGGCCCCAAAAAGGAAATGAGTGCTAGTTCCCCTCACAATCTACTTCTCTCCCAAAATTCCCTTAAGGCTTGAACCTTCCATCCTGAGGTCAGTGACAGAAGCAGATGGAAAACTGATGATGGGAATAGAAAGATGGCTTTGGATCTCCATGTAGTCATTTATTAGCTGACAATTCTGAGTAAAATCTTATAAGGAACTTGAGATTCAACTCCAGTTCTTCAAATGAGGTAACAAATACCCACTTCGTAGAGCTGTGATGAAGACTAACTGTAATAAAATGTAATAATGGCGGTTAGCTCCATTTTCTCTATCTTCCTTCACTGTCCCCACCAAATACAGCAGTACTGAATTGTGTGATGACATCATTCTCTGCTCAAAAAAGATTCCAGGCCGGGCGCAGTGGCTCAAGCCTGTAATCCCAGCACTTTGGGAGGCCGAAGCGGGTGGATCACGAGGTCAACAGATCGAGACCGTCCTGGTCAACATGGTGAAACCCTGTCTCTACTAAAAATACAAAAAAAAAAAAAAAAGAAAAAAAAAAAAAAAAAGATTCCAATCCCTGAGCAGTGTGAGGACTAGGAAATAATGGTACACAATGTCATCTGTAGATTAAGTATGCTAAATAGCCTTGTGCAGTGACTCACACCTGTAATCCCAGCACTTTGGGAGGCCAAGGCAGGTGGATCATAAGGTCAGGAGTTCAAGACCAGCCTGGCCAAGATGGTGAAACCCCATCTCTACTAAAAATCCAAAAATTAGCTGGGTGTGGTGGCGGCCACCTATAATCCCAGCTACTTGGGAGGCTGAGGCAGAGAATTGCTTGAACCCGGGAGGTGGAGGTTGCAGTGAGCCGAGATTGCACCACTGCACTCCAGCCTGGGCGACAGAGTGAGACTCCATCTTGAGAAAAAAGAAAAAAAAAAAGTATGTTAAATAGAAGTGGTAGGCAGATTTCTTTCTTTTTTTTTTTTTTTTTTGGTAGGCAGATTTCTAATGACATCCTCCCTTGATTGCTATCTTCTGGTTATTCAATCCAACACTAATCTAGGTACTGCTCTGAAGGGACTTTGCAGCTATAATTAAGGCTATGGACCTTAAGATACGGAGATCACTTTGGATAATCTGGTGGGTGCAATCTAATCACTTGAGCCCTTAGAAACTGAAATGTCTCTGCAGGAGTTAGAAAGATGTAATAGTCAGAAAGATTCAATGTGAGGAAAAACTTGACCCCCTGCTGCTGGTTTTGAAGATGGAGGCAGAAGGGCCAGAAACCTAGGAACGTTAGGAGCCTCAAGAAGCTGAGAATGATGCTTGGCCAACAGCGGTGGGAAACAGCAATCTTAGTCCTAAAATTGCAAGGAACAATTCAGCCAACAACATGAATGTTTATCCCTAGAGCCTCTAGAAAGAAGCACCACCCTGCCAACACATTTATTTTAGCCTTATGAAACCTGAAACAAAGAAACAGGTGAGCCACCTCAGACTTCTGACCTTGTGACAATTTGTTTTGGCAGCAGTAGGAAATACAAAAGGTATTTAAGCTGCCTCAATAAACCCTAGGAGGTAGATACTATGATTACCCCCATTTTACAGAGGAAGAGACTGAAGCACAGTGAACAGGCTCTGAGAAGGTCTGCTGGCCTGTCTCAGGAACAGTCATTCATGGCGGAAGTGTTTGCTACCAAGTTTATTTGCAGTGTTAACAGCACAACATTTACAAAACGCATTTTGTACAATCAAGTCATCACTGCCCTTGCACACTGGGGGGCTAGGGAAGACACAGTCCTTCCAACAGCTATAAGCAGTACTGGATAATGAGTTTCTGAAAAACATCTTTTCTTCCTTCAGCAAGCAAAATTATTTATGAAGCTGTATGGTTCAGCAATAGAGAGCAAAGGGAAAAAAAATGCCTCAAAGAAAGCAACAGCTCTTTTCCTGGTGGGATCTGTCATTTTACAGACATGAAATATTCATGCCAGAGATCTTATATATATATTTTCTTTTTCCTGTATGAGGTACACGCTAAGAGATCTTATATTTTAAGAGGAATGGGTTACATACCAGAGCTACAACAATAAACATTTTATTTATTACTAATGAGGAATTAGAAGACTGTCTTTGGAAACTGGTTCTTGAAAATCTTCGGCTGTTTTAGAACACATTCTTTAGAAATCTAGCAAATGTAACTCAGACTTTTAGAAATCTCTTCTATTTAACCCTCAAGTTTCATTTACTTTTCTTTTTTTTTTTTTTTGGAGTCACAGTCTTACTCTGTTGCCAAGGCTGGAGTGCAGTGGCATCATCTTGGCTCACTGCAACCCCTGCCTCCCAGGCTCAATTGATTCTCCTGCCTCAGCCTCTCAAGTAGCTGGGATTACAGGCGTCCACAACCACACCTGGCTAATTTTTGTATTTTTTTTTTTTTTTTTGAGACGGAGTTTCGCCCTTGTTACCCAGGCTGGAGTGCAATGGCGCGATCTCGGCTCACCGCAACCTCCGCCTCCTGGGCTCAGGCAATTCTCCTGCCTCAGCCTCCTGAGTAGCTGGGATTACAGGCACGTGCCACCATGCCCAGCTAATTTTTTGCACTTTTAGTAGAGACGGGGTTTCACCATGTTGACCAGGATGGTCTCGATCTCTCGACCTTGTGATCCACCCGCCTCGGCCTCCCAAAGTGCTGGGATTACAGGCTTGAGCCACCGCGCCCGGCGCTAATTTTTGTATTTTTAATAGAGATGGGGTTTCACCATCTCTGTTGCCCAGGCTGGTTTCAAACTCCTGACCTCCAGTGATCTGCCTGCCTCGGCCTCCCAAAATGCTGGGATTACAGGCGTGAGCCACCATGCCTGGCCCTCAAGTTTCATTTTCATATCTAATACCTGCCTCAGAATTTTCTCCCCAGTGCTCCACTCCAACATTTGAGAACTGCCCAAGGACAATTCTGATTTTAAGTCACATATTTGATCCCAAGTACTCTCCTTCCACTGAAGGGTCTGACTCCCTGCCTTTGTGAACACAGGGTTTTTTAAAGAGAAGCAAACTTAGGGAAACCAGCTATTCTCTCAAGCCACTCTGTGCCTCCAGCCCTAAGCCAACAGCCCTAATAGAAATAATACGGTTGATAAATAATGAATCAGCATCTTGCTCAATTGGTGGTGGTTAAATGGTTTTAAAATTTTCTCAGGTAAAAAATTACCATAATTTTGTGCTCATGGCAGATTTCAAAGGGAGACTTGAGGCAGAAAATCTTTAAGGGAACATTGCACAGCCAGAAGCCCTTTTCAGGCTGATGTACATAAAATATTTAGTAGCCAGGACAGTGGAAGGACTGAAGAGTGAGAAGCGCTCCCAGGGCCTGGAAAGGCCACTTTGTAAGCTCATTCTTGGGGCCCTGTGGCTCTGTACCTGTGGCTGGCTGCAATCAGTAGTGGCTGTGAGGGATCTGGGGTATCAGGTAGGTGTCCAGCTCCTGGCACTGGTAGAGTGCTACACTGTCCAACACCCACTCTCGAGTTACCACAGGTGCTTCACACATCTGCCCAATTGCTGGGGACAGAGAACACAAGCAAAGATTAGTGTCAATTCACATTCTCCTGGACCAGGCTCTAATCAATCTACTCTAGGGTCCTGGTTGTATGAGTTCTTAGGATTCATGAGGTAGAAGCCAAATTTTTTTTTTTTTTTTTTTTTTTTAGATGGAGTCTCACTCTTGTCACTCAGTCTGGAGTGCAATGGTGCAATTTTGGCTCACTGCAACCTCCACCTCCTGGGTTCAAGCGATTCCCCTGCCTCAGCTTCCCAAGTAGTGGGGATTACAGGCACCAGCCACCATGCTCGGCTCACTTTTTTTTTTTTTTTTTTTGGTATTTTTTAGTAGAGATGGGGTTTTGCCATGTTAGCCAGGCTGATCTCAAACTCCTGACCTCAGGGGATCCACCCTGAAGCTGAGGCAGGAGAATCCACTGAACCCAGAAGGCAGAGGTTACAGTGAGCCAGATTACTCCAGCCTGGGTAACAGAGTGAGACTCTGAAGCCCAAGGAATGACACTGGTGAAGGCCCACAACCTCTGACAACTGTATTAACATGAACTTCAATCTGTTAAAGGAAAGCCACCAGGAAAACAGCAATGTAATTTAATGATGTGGAAAAATATATGTAATATCTTAAGGCAAAAAGCAAAACAGTGTAATTATCACATTTTATAAAATACACATGTATATATATATATAGGCACATATACCTGGTAGAATTTTTTTTTTTTTTTTTTTGAGACGGAGTTTCGCTCTTGTTACCCAGGCTGAAGTGCAATGGCGCGATCTCGGCTCACCGCAACCTCCGCCTCCTGGGTTCAGGCAATTCTCCTGCCTCAGCCTCCTGAGTAGCTGGGATTACAGGCATGAGCCACCATGCCCAGCTAATTTTTTGTATTTTTAGTAGAGACGGGGTTTCACCATGTTGACCAGGATGGTCTCGATCTCTCGACCTCGTGATCCACCCGCCTCGGCCTCCCAAAGTGCTGGGATTACAGGCTTGAGCCACCGCACCCGGCTTACCTGGTAGAATTTTATGGTGATCATCTCTAAGTGGTGGAATTACTGGGATTATTTTATCGTTTTTGTGCAAATTTATTCTTTTTTTTTTTTTTTAGTGAAAGGGGCTTTCCGGCAAAAACCGGAAAGCCTGCTAGACAAATTCTAAAAGAGCTGTAACATTTATACTTCCTTGTTTTTTTTTTTTTTTTTTTTTTGAGACGGAGTTTCACTCGTTACCCAGGCTGGAGTGCAATGGCGCGATCTTGGCTCACTGCAACCTCTGCCTCCTGGGTTCAGGCAATTCTCCTGCCTCAGCCTCCTGAGTAGCTGCGATTACAGGCACGCGCCACCATGCCCAGCTAATTTTTGTATTTTTAGTAGAGACAGAGTTTCACCATGTTGACTAGGATGGTCTCGATCTCTTTTTAACTTTTTTGTTTTTTTTTTTTGAGACGGAGTTTCACTCTTGTTACCCAGGCTGGAGTGCAATGGCGCGGTCTCGGCTCACTGCAACCTCCACCTCCTGGGTTCAAGCAATTCTGCTGCCTCAGCTTCCTGAGTAGCTGGGATTACAGGCACGTGCCACCATGCCCAGCTAATTTTTTTGTATTTTTAGTAGAGACGGGGTTTCACCATGTTGACCAGGATGGTCTCGATCTCTTGACCTCGTGATCCACCCGCCTCGACCTCCCAAAGTGCTGGGATTACAGGCTTGAGCCACCGCGCCCGGCTTTCTTTTTTCTTTCTGAGACACGGTCCCACTCTGTCACCCAGGCTGGAGTGTAGTGGTGTGATCATGGCTCACTGCAGCACTGACCTTTTGGGCTCAAGGGATCCTCCCACCTCAGCTTCCCAAGTAGCTGAAACTACAGGCATGTACCATCACACCCAGCTAGTTTTTAAATTTTTTGTAGAGATGAAGTCTCCCTATGTTGCCCAGGCTGGTCCTGAACTCCTAGGCTTCTTGGCCTCCACATTGGCCTCCCAAAGTGCTGGGATTATAGGCGTGATCCACCATGCCTGGCCTTGATTTATATTTTCTGTGATGAACATTCATATCGAACCCCCACCCCATAGAAACAGTTAATGTATTACTTTTACAATGTAAAACAATTAAAATGCCAACAAGACATTTTAGCCGTTCATTAGGCAAATATTTAAAATGTGCCAAGAACTGTGCTATTCAAGCACCAGGTAATGAGTGGCAAACCAAACCCATGCAAAAGGACCCCCTGTAACACAGGTACATGCAACCACCTTACCATGGAAGCCACTGTCCTCTGTCCAGGCATCTGGCTGCACAACCACAACTGCACGGATACCCTGCATCCCCAGGAAGGAAACGGCATTGAAGTGTCAGAGCAGGACTACTGGAACTGTCACTTCATCATTTTTTTTGAGACAGGGTCTTGCTCTGTTGTCCAGGCTGGAGTGCAGTGGTATGATCGTCAGCTCACTGCAACCTCTGCCTCCTAGGCTTAAGCAATCCTTCTACCTCAGCCTCCCAAGTAGCTGGGACTACAGGTGCGTGCCACTACCCCTGGATTATTTTATTTTATTTTATTTTTTTAGAGATGGGGTTTCACCATGTTGGCCAGGATGGTCTTGATCTCCTGACCTTGTGATCCACCTGCCTCAGCCTCCCAAAGTGCTGGGATTACAGGCGTGAGCCACAGCGCTCAGCAATTTTTTTGTATTTTTGATAGAGATGGGGTTTTGCCATGTTGCCCAAGCTGGTCTTGAGCTCCTAGGCTTAAGTGATTCTCCTACCTTGGCCTCCCAAAGTGTTGGGATTATAGGTGTGAGGCACTGAGCCCAGCCCATCATTTTTTTTCTCTCTCTTTTTTTTAGATGAAGTCTCACTCTATCACCCAGGCTGGAGTGCAGTGGTGCAATCTTGGCTTACTGCAACCTCTGTCTTCCAGGTTCAAGCAATTCTCATGCCTCTGCCTCCCAAGTAGCTGGGATTACAGGCATGCTCCACCAGACCCAGCTAATTTTTGTATTTTTTTAGTAGAGACGGGGTTTCACCATGTTGGCAAGGCTGGTCTAAAACTCCTGACCTCAAGTGATCCACCTGCCTTGGCCTCCCAAAGTGCTGGGATTACAGGCATGAGCCACCATGCCCGGCATCCAGCCCATCATTTCTTGATTATTTGTTGAAACATGGTATGCTGGGGGAGTAGAGAGAAGAGTAGGAGGGGGATATGGCAAAAAGAGTTAGAGGGAAAGGGCCTTCCCTCACTATATTTAGTATGTGCAGCTCTCAAGTCTGTACGCATCCCTTACAGACTTGAGAACTGCACATATTAAATATACTTCTGGCACAGGTTATGTGGGGAGAGAAGGCTTCTGAGGCTACAGTAGGGGCATCCATAGGGACTGATAGGTGCCAGTCTTGCTCAATCACAGGAGAGAACATTGTGTCCTTCCTCTCTGACAGGGCACCCCCAGTACTTACTGTGCCAAGGGTGAATGACGAAAGCTCCTTCACCACAGAAGCCCCACACAGCTGCACCATCCACTCCAGTTGATCTGAACAGGACATTTAGATATAAAATCACCACAGTAATCTGTGTACTTAACACAGGCCCTCTGCCCTACACTCTCTGGGTGAAGGCTTATAGCAAGACCTCTCACTGGGAGAGTCTGTCTCTCTGCTTCAAAGGACTACAGTCTTAAAAATAGTAGGGGTATGGATTTTAAATCAATTTGCCACTGATATGCTGCATACTCTGGTTATCAGTCTCCATAAGGCCACTTGGTAGATAAGGTCTGATAGTCTCTCAAATAAAATACTTGAAAGAAAAAAAAAAGATTGAAGATCTAATTTCCATTAATTTGCTAAGTTGCTGGCTAAGACACTATGAAAAAACACTCACCTTCTTTTCCTCCCTTCCTCCCTGCCTCCTAATTCTGTGTTGGTAATTGATAATCACGGCCACTGAAAATATCATACTTGGTGACAATTACTGTAAATGTCAAGAGATGGGAAGATAATTCATCCAGTCAAAAAAAAAATACACATCATCCTGGTTAGAGACTCAGCGGAGAAAGGTTATATGCTGAGCTGGAATCCGTATACTCAGGAGAACAGAAATCAGAACAGACTGTGTAGATTTCACCAATCTGAGGAACCCTCATTGGGGGAATCTTGCTTTTAACACTCCACTATGTAAGACAAAGGCTAGTGCTGGAACTCTGCAGTTCTCCCAGACTCTTACCTGTGGGCATGTTGGTAAAGGGCCCATAACAACAGATTTCTAGGCCCCTGAAGATCTGAAAGAGAGGAAGAGAGATTGACAGGGAAATGGAAAGAAAATTTAGTTATAAAAGAATTGGCTTTTATTCAAAAAACAGACTTTCATAAAGGAAGAGCTTTTCTTTTTCTTTGGTTCACCACCTGATGATTTCTGCTGTTACTTCCCAGGGACAAGCAGTCCAATGTCCAGAACACTAAGGGATTTCAGAAGACCTTTTTGAAGTGCAACGTAGTTGACCTGCACTCTACCAGCATTCTTTGTCATTCAAGGACTGAGCATCTCACGTAGTCACCAGTCAGGCCCAGGCTCCTCCCTAATGATCTCTGCAGGTGCTTTTACTTGTTAGATGCAAAAGAAAAATAAGGTCCTTCTGTATGTTTAATAAAAGGCTTGGATGGCTAGAAATTCAAAGCTAGTGGCTGAAGTTTGATGTTCATCCAGACTTAGTACCTCAATACTCACCATGATGCCATCAGCAGAGGAGTCTATGTTGATTTTAGATGTACATGCTCCTTGTCTCCTGACTTTTCTTCTAGCCCCTCAAACACCTGTTCTTCACAATACTCTGAGAATGGCCATTGCATCTTTAGGCCACCTAAGCAGTTTTAAAACTAGAAGTGAAGCCAGGTTCTGCCTCTCCTCATTGAACTGGTCTGACTGCCTGGTTTCCTGAAGACACAGATCACATCACAGCTCCTTTTCCACTTGCAGGGCTTGGCAACACTGTTCTAAAGAACTTTCTGTGATAGTCAAAATGTTCTGTATCTGTGCTAATAAGGTAGCAATGAGTCACATAGAGTTATTGAGCACTGGAGATGTGGTCAGGGTGAACGAGGAACTAAACTTCACATTTTCTTTTCTTTGACAAGATGAGGTCTCATTCTGTCACTCAGGCTGGAGTACAGCGGCATGACTATAGATTGCTACAGCACTGAACTCCTGGGCCCAAGTAATCCTCCCACCTCAGCCTTCTAAGTACCTGGGACTACAGGTGCATACCACGACTGGCTGATTTGTAAAAATTTAAATTTACAGTCCCGTGTGGCTGGTGGCAACAGTGTGGGACAGTGCAAATTCTCATACATACATTGGGATAAGTTCTTAGCAAAGAACTTGGGTATCACTTAAAAATAAACCCTGCTGGCTGTGGTAGCCCACATCTGTAATCCCAGCATGTTGGGAGGCCAAGGCAGACAGATGACCTGAGGTCAGAAGTTCGAGACCAGCCTGACCAATATGGAGAAACCCCGTCTCTACTAAAAACACAAAATTAGTCAGGCGTGGTGGCACATGCTTGTAATCCCAGCTACTGGGGAGGCTGAGGCAGAAGAATTGCTTGAACCCAGGAGGCAGAGGTTGGGGTGAGACGATTTCACGCCATTGCCCTCTAGCCTGGGCAACAAGTATGAAACTCCGTCTCAAAAACAAAACAAAAACAAAAAACAAAAAACCTCAATAAACCCTATATTTGTATCATTTGGATGGATATGTTTTGGGTAACTCTCAGTCTCTTGACCCTCTTCCTACCTTTCCATTTCAATAAAAACAAAATTGCCAAGGCCTAAAATTCAGCTGGCCTCAAAGAGACTGCGATAGAGAAAAATCAGGAAGGTAAAAAAAATACACGGATGGCTTCTTAGAAAGTGGTCACCTTCCCCACTGATAGACACACATACACTTTACAGCCAGAGGGAAAAGAAAGGAGAGCAGGACAAATCTGTTTGTATGAAAGGACAGCATCCATCTGTGCCACTCTCACTATCTGTATGAATAAACTGTACCCCCAAACTGTGGACAGGACCTGCATGCTCCTAATGCTAGAAGTTCTCCCTTGGCAGCTAGCTGGAGCCAAATGGTGACATGAAAAGTATAAAAGAGTCTGGGTGCAGTGGCTCACACCTGTAATTCAAGCACTTTGGTAGGCTGAAGCAGGCGAATCATGAAGTCGAAAGATAGGGACCATCCTGGTCAACACGGTGAAACCCCGTCTCTACTAAAAATACAAAAATTAGCTGGGCATGGGGGCACACGCCTTTAATCCCAGCAATTCAGGAGGCTGAGGCAGGAGAATCACTTGAACCCAGGAGGCTGAGGTTGCAGTAAGCCGAGATCACACCACTGCACTCCAGCCTGGTGACAAAGTGAGACTGTCTCAAAAAAAAAAAAAAAAAAAAAAAAAAAAAGGTTCAAAAAATTAGGAGTGTATCCAGGCTAACACTCAGTGATGAGGATGTCTAGTTATGAGATAAGAAATTTGAAGTTTCACCTCTACATACACGTTTCTCTTCCAGAGGAAAATACTATGGTGACATTTCGTATCTTCAGAATGTCATTACTTTGACCACATACTTTCCATTATTGCTATTCTGCATGGAGGAAAAAATCCAAAGCGGCCGGGCGCGGTGGCTCAAGCCTGTAATCCCAGCACTTTGGGAGGCTGAGGCGGGTGGATCACGAGGTCAAGAGATTGAGACCATCCTGGTCAACATTGTGAAACCCCGCCTCTACTAAAAATACAAAAAATTAGCTGGGCATGGTGGCGTGTGCCTGTAATCCCAGCTACTCAGGAGGCTGAGGCAGGAGAATTGCTTGAACCCAGGAGGCGGAGGTTGCGGTGAGCCGAGATCGTGCCATTGCACTCCAGCCTGGGTAACAAGAGCGAAACTCCGTCTCAAAAAAAAAAAAAAAATCCAAAGCACTAGATTTTCTTTTTAAAGAAGGGAAGAATCCGGTGCTAATACTGCACAGCATACAGCGGAGTAAAAACAGAGGACCGGCTCACATGGAACTCCCCTGTGGTAAACGAGAAGCAGTAATAAGGCCAGCAGCTTTTCTTGGCATCTGGAACAATTACTTGATAGGCTCAGAAGACAAGAACAGGCTGACCTCAAGGGTTCAAAACGCCAGGCTTGATTTGTGATCATGCCCAAAGCAGTTTTCCTTAGGAAATTACCTCTACTCCTTCCCTCTTAAGTTGCTATGAAGGGACGGAAAGTACTTGGTAGAAAGATGTTTCATTTTGTTTTGAGACAAGGTCTCACAATGCTGCCCAGGCTGGAGTGCAGTAGCACGATCATGGCTCATTACAGCCTCGACCTCCCAGACTCAAGCATTCTCACCTTAGCCTCCTGAGTAGCTGGGAACACAGGAATGTGCCACAACATTAATTTTAAATTTTTTTGTAGAGACAAGGTCTCACTATGGTACCCAGGCTAGTCTTGAACTCCTGGGCTCAACGGATCCTTCTGTCTTGGCCTCCCAAAGTGCTTGGCCTCCCAAAGTGCCTCAGCCTCCTAAGTAGCTGGGATTACTTTTTTGGTAATTTTAGTAGAGACAGGGTTTCACCACGTTGACCAGGCTGGTCTCGAATTCCTAACCTCAGCTGATCTGTCTGCCTCAGCCTCTCAAAGTGCTAGAATAGCAGGGGCGAGCCACCGCGCCTGGCCTTATTTTTTATATTTTTATTAGAGAGGAGGTTTTGCCCTGTCGGCCAGGCTGATCTTGAACTCCTAGTCTCAAGTGATCCACTTGCCTTGGGCTCCCAAAGTGCATGAGCCACTGCACCCAGCCTCCAAGTCTAAACTCTTAATGATAATACCATAGTTTCTTGAAAAGTTGTTGAAGGACTTCACAGAAGAAAAAAAATAGAGCATTTTAACAACTTTGGAAATGAGACCCAAGAAGACTCAGTGACTTTCTCCAGATCACATTGTAGCAGATGACGCAGGCAGAACTATAACTTCCTCTCAGGGAGAACTCTGTGCAAGATTTTTCACCTACCTATCAGGCCTGAGCTGGCTACTTTCTCAGCTCACTGACTAGGTGCTGTGTTCCCAGTCTGCTTTTCTTCCTTTTTCACGTGTGCACTACCAGACATTTCAGAACATCCCAGCACTGTGCATGCCCTGCTTACAGCATTTACCATACTGTTTTAGAGAAAGACATCCCGGGCCGGGCATGGTGGCTCATGCCTGTAATCGTAGCACTTAGGGAGGCAGAGGTGGGGGGATCACCTGAGGTCAGGAGTTCAAGATCAGCCTGGCCAACACAGTGAAACCCTGTCTCTACTAAAAATATGAAAAATTAGCCCAGTGTGGTGGTACATGCCTGTAATCCCAGCTACTCGAGAGGTTGAGGCAGGAGAATTGCTTGAACCTGGGAAGTGGAGTTTTCAGTGAGCTGAGATCATGCTGCTGCACTCCAGACTGGGTGACAGAGCAAGACCCCATCTCGGGGGAAAAAAAAGAGAGAGAGAGAGAAAGATACCCTCATGAAGTGAAAAGAGCAAAGGCTTTAGATTCCCATCGGCTTAAAGTCCCAGCTCTTCTACTTATCAGCTGAGATCGGAACACCAGATAGGAATCCAAATTACACAGCCTCTCTAAATCTCTTAGTTCTATCATTCATAAAGTAGAGACAATACTTATTTATGTGGAAAAAATAACCTGTGTGAAAGTACCTAGCAGTGTGTATGTATGTAACAAGCCTTACAAGATGAACTGAACCATCTCAAGAAAGGGGATTGGAATACAGAGTGGTAGGATAAGATTTTTGTCAACTTGAGGGAGGAAGCTTTACCTTTTTGCCCTGGGATTCTCTTGCTCGCCTTGGACCTTGGTGGTTTCTTCCATTGACCACATCTCCTCTGACTTCAAAATCATGCTGAAAGAAAACAAACACAAACCATCAGGATCAGAGAAAGAGAAGCTTCCTCAATGGAAGTGGAGCAGACTCGTCATATTCAAGGCATTCAAGCTTGGTGTGGTGGCTCACGACCTGTAATCCCAGCACTTTGTGAGGCCAAGGTGGGTGGATCACTCGAGGTCAGGTGTTTGAGACCAACCTAGCCAAGGTGGGTGGATCACTCGAGGTCAGGTGTTTGAGACCAACCTAGCCAACATGGTGAAACCCCATCTCTACTAAAAAAAAATCCAAGGCTGGGCACGGTGGCTCAAGCCTATAATCCTAGCACTTTGGAAGGCTGAGGCAGGTGGATCATTTGAGGTCAGGAGTTCAAGACCAGCCTGGCCAACATGGCGAAACTTGTCTCTACTAAAATACAAAAAATTAGCTGGGCGTGGTGGTGGGTGTCTGTAATCCCAGCTACTCGGAAGGCTGAGGCAGGAGAATTGCTTGAACCTGGGAGGTGGAGGTGGCAATGAGCCGAGATCTCTCCACTGCACTGCAGCCTGGGTGACAGAGTGAGACTCTGTCTCAAAAAAATAAATAAATTAGGCCGGGTAAGGCACTTTGGGAGGGTGAGGTGGGCAGATCACAAGGTCAGGGGTTCAAGACCAGTCTGGCCGACATGGTGAAACCCTGTCTCTACTGAAAATGCAAAAATTAGCTGGGCATTGTAGCATGTGCCTATAATCCCATCTACTTGGGAAGCTGAGGCAGGAGGATAGCTTGAGACCCATCTGGGCAACACAGTGAGACCCCTTCTCTACAAAAGATATATAAAACTTTAACTAGGCAAAGTTGTGTGTGCCTATAGTCCCAATTTCTTGGGAAGCTGAGGCTGGAGGATCACTCGAGCCCAAGAGTTGGAGGCTGCAGTGAATTATGATCACACCACCTCACTCCCGACTGGGTAACAAAGTGAGACCCTGCTTAAAAAAAAAAAAAAAAGGAGGGAAAGAAAAGAAAGGAAGAAAGGAAGAGAGAAAAAGAGAGGGCTGGGTGTGGTGGTTCAATCCTATAATCCCAGCATGTTGGGAGGCCGAGGCAGGCAGATCACCTGAGGTCAGGAGTTCGAGACCAGTCTGCCCAACATGGTGAAACCCTGACTCTACTAAAAATTATCCAGGCCTGGTGGTGGGCACCTGTAATGGAGGCTGAGGCAGGAGAATCACTTGAAACCAAGAGGTGGAGGTTGCAGCAAGCTGAGAAAATGCCCTGGGTGATAAGAGTGAGAAACTCCATCTCAAAATAAAAAAAGAAAAAGAATTTTGCTGGGCAGAGATTTGACCAAAAGCAAGTAAAATCATTCTATTGGTAGACCAGGTGAAATGACCAGGAGCTTGGCTGTTGAAATCACTCACTGAAGCGTATCTTAGTGTGCAGAAATTAACAACTGGCTTTTCACCTCACTGGGACTTAACGTATTTTAATTTTCAATGTCTATCTCTTCTCAAAACATTCACTTAGCATTTAGATTAAACTGCTAATACAGTGCTGTTATAAAGATAACAGATAAATTCCCTATCTTCTATATCAACTGTAATATTATCATTTAAAGAAACATAGGCTTTTCAAATTTCCACTGAGAGATTTACACAGTAAATGGAACCAAAATGATAAAATATACAATTAATATACTGAAGAAAGTTAGAGGTTTTTCATAATCACTATTATGACCGGTCATGGACATGAGAATGAAGAATAATGAGACTGGGGAGAAATTTGAGGAAGAATGCTTAGAAACAATTCTGACTGAAACTCAGATTGTAGGGAAGGCCACATGTGTTGCCAAGAGTTTTGTGAAGAAAAATAAAGGCAAGAGTATAACCACCAGCTATTACTAGGGGAAGAATACCTGATGTTTCCTAGTTACTTGAATGAGGAGTCTAGTGATAAATTTGTCATTTATTTGAAGACTCCCATGTTTATAGTTCTGATTGTATCCGCTTCATACAATGTGTCCAACTGCCGATTTAACCTCTCCATCCAGATGTCTAGTATATATCTCAAAATTCACGCATCTGGCTGGGCATAGTGGCTCACACCTGTAATCCCAGCACTTTGGGAGGTCAAGGTGGGTGGATCACCCAAGGTCAGGAGTTTGAGACCAGCTTGGCTAATATGGTGAAACCCCTTCTCTACTAAAAATATAAATATTAGCCAGGTGTTATGGTGGGTGCCTGTAATCCCAGCTACTCAAGAGGCTGAGGCAGAACTGCTCGAACCTGGGAGGCAGAGGCTCTAGCCTGGTTAACAGAATGAGACTCCATTGCCAAGAAAAAAAAAAAGATAAAATAAAAATTCATGGATCTAAAACAGAGTTCCTGATTCCACTCCTGCTTTCTGCCCTTCCCACTCCCCCAAATTCCCTACCATGTCTTCCTTATCTAATTTAACATTTACTAACAAGATCAGGCCAAAACTCAAATGTCACCCCCCTTCAATTTCTCTTTACCTTATTGTCCAAATTTAATCCATTAGCAAGTCCTATCTTCAAACCTATCCCAAACCAACCTGCTTTTTTTAAAACCTTCTCCCCACCACCAACTATGTGATTTGGCCGTCATCTATGATCTTCTCCCATTCCTTGTCTAATTTCTGCCTCCATACATAATTTGCCAATTACTACTCTTCAGCTACACTGGCCTATCTTTTATTATTATTATTATTATTTTTTGAGACGGAGTCTTGCTCTGTCACCCAGGCTGGATGGAGTGCAGTAGCGCCATCTTGGCTCACTATAATCTACCTCCCGGGTTCAAGTGATTCTCCTGCTTCAGCTGCCCAAGTAGCTGGGATTACAGGCTTGTGCCACCACCCCGAGCTAATTTTTGCATTTTTTTTTTTTTTGAGACAGTCTCACTCTGTTGCCCAGGCTGGAGTGCAGTGGCATGATAGCTCTTTGCAACCTCTGCCTCACAGGTTCAAGCAGTTCTGCCTTAGCCTCCCGAGTAGCTGGGACTACAGATGCCCACCATGTCTGACTGATTTTTGTATTTTTAGTAGAGATGGGGTTTCATCATATTGGCCAGGCTGTTCTCAAATTCCTGACTTTGCGATCTGCCTGCCTCAGCCTCCCAAAGTGTTGGGATTACAGGTGTGAGACACCGCCCAGCCTAATTTTTGCAATTTTTTTTTTTTTTTTTTTTTTTTTTGAGACAGAGTCTCGCTTTGTTGCCAGGTGCCAGGCTGGAGTGCAGTGGTACGATCTCGGCTCACTGCAACCTCCACCTCGTGGGTTCAAGCAATTCTCCTGACTCAGCCTCCCGAGTAGTTGGGATTACTGACGCATGCCACCATACCCGGCTAATTTTGTATTTTTTTTTAGCAGAGACAGGGTTTCACCATGTTGGCCAGGATGGTCTCGATCTCTTAACCTCATGATCTGCCCGCCTCGGACTCCCAAAGTGCTGGGATTACAGGTGTGAGCCACAGTGCCTGGCCAATTTTTGCATTTTTAAAAAGATATGGAGTTTTGTTATGTTGGCGCGGCTAGTCTCGAGCTCCTGACCTCAGGTGATCCGCCTGCCTCAGCCTCCCAGAGTGCTGGGATTGCAGACATGAGCCACCATGCCTGGCCCTTTTATTATTATTTGAGATGGGAGTCTTGCTGTCGTCCAGGCTGGAGTGCAGTGCAATCCTGGATCACTGCAGCCTCCCCCCTGACAGGTTCAAGCAATTCTCCTGCCTTGGCCTCTGGAGTAGCTGGGATAACAGCCACATGCCACCATGCCTGGCTAGTTTGTTTTTTTTTTTGAGACAGTCTTGCTCTGGCACCCAGGCTGGAATGCAGTGGCGTGATCTCAGCTCACTCTAGCCTCCGCCTCCTAAGTTCAAGTGATTCTCCTGCCTCAGCCTTCCGAGTAGCTGGGACTATAGGCTCGTGCCACCACACCTGGCTAATTTTTTGTATTTTTAGTAGAGACAGGGTTTTACCGTGTTAGCCAGGATGATCTTGATATCCTGACCTTGTGATCTGCCCATCTTGGCCTCCCAAAGTGCTGGGATTACAGGCATGAGCCACGGCACCTGGCCTACTTTTTTTTTATCTTTCTGGTAGAGGTGGTAGCATGAGCTACCATGCCTGGCCAACACTGGCCTATCTTTTAAAAATAAATCAAGCTCTGGCCGGGCGTGGCAGTGGCTCATGCCTGTAATCCCAGGACTTTGGGAGGCTGAGGCAGCCGGATCACTTGAGGTCAGGCGTTTCAGACCAGGCTGGCCAATAGGGTAAAACCCCACCTCTACCAAAAATATAAACAACTAGCCGGGCATGGTGGCACGTGCCTGTAATCCCAGCTACTCGGGAGACCAAGGCAGGAGAATCGCTTGAACCCAGGAGGCAGAGTTTGCAGCAAGTCAAGATTGTGCCACTGCACTCCAGCTTGGGGTATACAGTGAGACTCTGTCTCAAAAAAAAAAAAAAAAAAAAAAAAAAAAGCAAAAATAAAAAAGCCAAGCTTATTATCACAAGACCTTTATGTTTGCTATTCCTCTGCCTATAACATATATTCCCTCCAGTTTTCAAGGACAATTCTTTCTTGTTATTTAGGTCTCAGCTCAATCTTTTCAGAAAGGCCTTCCCTGGCCTCCTTAAAAGAAAGTAATCAACAACCTTTATTGCTATCTAATTCATCTTTATTGTGTATCTCCCCTCAATAGAACCTGAATCCTACCAGGGACTTGGTTAGTCTTGTTTACTGCTGCATTCCTAGTGCCTAGCACATAGTAGGCTCACATAAATAGCCACTGAATAAAAGTTAAAACCAACACAAAAATCATTTAATTAATTATGAATATATTGAATTGTGTATAATAGTTTATAAAATTATTTTCACATTTTATTTCGCCTGATCTGTTGTTAGAGAAGCTCTCAGATGGCTGTTCTAAAATTATTCCTCCTCCTACACTCTATCTTATTTACCTCTCACTGTTCTCAGCATCATAAAGTGCAACATCTTTTTGAAGTAATCTGAATTCTAAACAGATACATTTGCATGTATATATACGTAAATATGCATATGTGTACACACAAGCACACCTTTTTTTTCTTTTTAAAGAGATAGGGTCTTGTTCTGTCACCCAGGCTAGAGTGCAGTGGCATGATCACAGCTCACTGCAGCCTTGAACTCCTGGGCTCAAGTGATTTTCCCAGTTTAGCTTCCTCAGTAGCTAAGACTACAGGTGCACACTTCCATGCCTTGCTAATTAAAAAAAATTTTTGTGTGTGTAGACAGAGTCTCACTCTGTTGCCCAGGCTGGTTCCAAACTCCTGGCCTCTAGCAGTCCTCCTGTCGCAGCCTCCCAAAGTGCTGATATAAGTGTAAGGCACTGCACCTGGACTGCATATTAATATGAAGCATTTTTCTTCAACAGTGAATGGTTTGTTTTCTACAAAGGTATATGTAAGTGGGCCCACTTCTTGTCCTTATGAATCTTTTTTTTCCCCCTTCCCTTTTCCCCAAAGAAAGGACTGTTTCTTTTGAAATCTAGAACAAATGTGCTGGGCGCGGTGGCTCAAGCCTGTAATCCCAGCACTTTGGGAGGCCGAGGCGGGTGGATCACGAGGTCAAGAGATCCAGACCATCCTGGTCAACATGGTGAAACCCCGTCTCTACTAAAAATACAAAAAATTAGCTGGGCATGGTGGCACGTGCCTGTAATCCCAGCTACTCAGGAGGCTGAGGCAGGAGAATTGCCTGAACCCACTCCAGCCTGGGCAACAAGAGAGAAACTCTGTCTCAAAAAAAAAAAAAGAAATCTAGAACAAATGAGAACACAGAATATCCTGGTTTGCTCCAAATAATTATTGATGATCCCCATAATCAAAGAAAATTTCTGCATTATCAAGGAAAGTGGTGCATTGATGGAAGGAAGCAAATACATTTTTTTTTTTTTTTGAGACGGAGTTTCGCTCTTGTTACCCAGGCTGGAGTGCAATGGCGCGATCTCGGCTCACCGCAACCTCCGCCTCCTGGGTTCAGGCAATTCTCCTGCCTCAGCCTCCGGAGTAGCTGGGATTACAGGCACGCGCCACCATGCCCAGCTAATTTTTTGCACCTTTAGTAGAGACGGGGTTTCACCATGTTGACCAGGATGGTCTCGATCTCTTGACCTCGTGATCCACCCGCCTCGGCCTCCCAAAGTGCTGGGATTACAGGCTTGAGCCACCGCGCCCGGCGCGGAAGCAAATACATTTTTAACTATGTGACTCAATGACACCATGTCTCTGATTAGTTTGTAACATCAAGTACTTACCTCATTCAGCATTTTTCTTTCTTTAATAGACTGGGTCACCCCTAAGGAGATCACAGAAAAGACAGGTTACATACAGCAGAAGAATGTGCTCTTTTCATGGAGATGGAGAGGTCAGTGATTCACAAAAGAATGACAGAGGTCCTTTCCTTCGAAAGCCACAGCCCTTTAATAAGGCTTCTAGCAGCAGTTTCCTTCTGGAGACACAGTTGATGTTTAATTTAAACATTGTAAGTTTGGCTGCTGCACATGGATTCCTGCCGACTATTAAATAAGTCCCTAGTTCCTATGCTAACATTGCTAGAAGCAGATTAGGTCCTATTAGTTATAAAAGGGACCCATTTTCCCAGCATCACCAGCTTATGTGAACAAAGTGATACGTATTAAGGATAAAGGTAGTTTTGTGTTACCATTAAAGACCTTTTGGTAATTGAGTCTCAGCATCAGCAAAAACCTTAGGTGTTAAAATGTTAGGTGTAAAAATGCAATTCATGAGGTGTTAAAGGGAGGAGGAGAGAAACAGTTTTGTACTTACAGAAATAGCTAACTACCCATTTTCCTCCTGCAATTCCCAGAAAATATTTCAGTGTCCGTTCACACACAAACTCGGCATCTGCAGAATGAAAAACATCCAAAGGATTAGAAGTTGAAAACACATTCAGGAAGTGCTGTCCTAAGAAGCTAAAGTGCCTCCAAGCACTTTGGAGGCCAAGGCGGGTGGATTACCTGAGGTCGGGAGTTCAAGACCAGCCCGACCAACATGGTGAAACCCCGGCTTTAAAAAAAAAAAAAAAAAAGCAGCTCCCAAGATCAATCTGGATTCATGATTCTAAAATCCTGGTGACAGAACCAGAAACTGAAAACACCACTAATTATAACCAGCAGGTGTGGATCTTTGGAAGCCTAGGAGAGGCTGATATGAAGACCAGAAGAAACATCTATCAACGCCCTCTCCCCAACACCCATCTTCTAGATGCTAAGGCTAGCTATAGATTGCCATTGTAGTGTTCAAGGAATTAGGAATTATCCATGTCAATAGTTTTGATTAATGTGGATGGAGAACATCTGTATTACTAGATGGTAATATGTAAAAGGAGAAGAAAACAGTATTGTTGAAAACCTAAAGCTGAAATATCAATGTAATGACAAATTTTTACCCCTAGAATGTCCAATCTGGGGAGTCCTAACCCTCTAATATTCCCCTGAGAGGGATAGGAGAATATAGCGTTTTCAGAGCTTCTGTAAAAGTATTTTAGAAAGCAGTAGCTAAAGAATCACTTGTTTATTTCCCAGTGTTTTAAAGGTCCTTCTGAAGAACTAAGCAAACTAAGGAAAGACCATTTAATTTTAAACAGGAGAAATGTATTTAACTCAATCCTGAACACAGTAGGCTATCTGCAAGCATTAGCAGCAGCCATTCTCCCTCACAGAATTCCTACAATTTTTGAAGTTTTTTTGTTTAACTGCTATAAAATTCGATTTAATAATATGTGTGTGTATGCATATATATATATATATATATAGAGAGAGAGAGAGAGAGAGAGAGAGAGAGAGACGAAGTCTTGGTCTGTCGCCAGGCTGGAGTACGGTGGCACTATTTTGGCTCACTGCACCCTCCGCCTCCTGGGTTCAAGTGATTCTCCTGCCTCAGCTTCCTGAGTAGCTGGGACTACAGGCACGTGCCACTATTCCCAGCTAATTTTTTGTATTTTTAGTAGAGATGGGGTTTCATAATATTGGCCAGGATGGTCTCAATCTCCTGACCTTGTGATCTGCTCACCTCGGCCTCCCAAAGTGCTGGGATTACAGATGTGAGCCACCGCACCCCACAATATATATTAAACTTAAAAATTTAGCTCATTTTTAGTTCAAAAGTAGCAAATGTTATATTGCCTTTAAGTTTAAAGACTGAACTACTTTAGATTTAGTTTGCATTTTAAAGTTTTCTTTTTTTCTTTCTTGAGACGGAGTCTTGCTCTGTCCCCCAAGCTGGAGTGCAATGGCACAATCTCAGCTCACTGCAACCTCTGCCTCCCGGCTTCAAGTGTTTCTCCTGCCTCAGCCGCCTGAGTAGCTGGGAGTACAGGTGCATGCCATCACGCTCGACTAATTTTTTGTAATTTTAGTAGAGATGGGGTTAACCAGGATGGTCTCGATCTCATGACCTTGTGATCCGCCTGCCTCAGCCTCCCAAAATGCTGGGATTATAGGCGTGAGCCACCATGCCTTGCCTCTATTTTTTTTTTCTTTCACCCAGGCTGGAGTGCAGTGGTGCGATCTCGGCTCACTGCAACATCTGCCTCCCAGGTTCAAGCAATTCTCCTGCCTCAGCCTCCTGACTAGCTTGAGTTATAGTCCTGTGCCACCACATCTGGCTAATTTTTGTATTTTTAGTAGAGACAGAGTTTCACCATATTGGTCAGGCTGATCTTGAACTCCTGACCTCAAGATCTACCTGCCTTGGCCTCCCAAAGTGCTGGGATTACATGGGTGAGCCACTGCACCCAGCCTACCCTCCAAATCTTAACCCAAAACAGAAAAGGGTAAGGAAACAGCAAAACCATTATTTGTCTTTCATAAAGTAATTGACTGACTATTAGAAGACTATCATCCGGCCGGGCGCGGTGGCTCAAGCCTGTAATCCCAGCACTTTGGGAGGCCGAGGCGGGTGGATCACGAGGTCGAGAGATCGAGACCATCCTGGTCAACATGGTGAAACCTCGTCTCTACTAAAAATACAAAAAAATTAGCTGGGCATGGTGGTACGTGCCTGTAATCCCAGCTACTCAGGAGGCTGAGGCAGGAGAATTGCCTGAACCCAGGAGGCGGAGGTTGCGGTGAGCCGAGGTCGCGCCATTGCACTCCAGCCTGGGTAACAAGAGCGAAACTCTGTCTCAAAAAAAAAAAAAAAAAAAAAAAAAAAGAAGACTATCATCCATGCTATGCTTAACAACTATTCTAATTTTTTCATGTGGTTTTATACAGCAGATACAAAGTATTTTGTTATAGTTCTTGGTATACCTGTTTTCATAACAACATGAGTAGTCTCTTCAGTAATTTGATTAGTTAAAGTGATGTGGTGTTTTCTGGCAAACTTGTACACGAGCACCTGAAATTAAATCAAATATTCTGTTATCATAAGTTACCTCTAGTACACAGCTTAGAATATTCATCATCCTACCATAGCACACGTTTACCTATGTAATAAACCTGCACATTTGGCACATATATCCCGAACTTAAAGTAAAAAAAAAAAACCACTAATTATCCTAGCTTTTAGTCTTCATTTTTCTCAGAAAGGGTATATTTAAAAAATTCTAAGATGCTTGAAGTCTCAAATAGTTTAATAAAAATTATGTACATATCAGCAGATGTAGAATTACAGCTAAGTGTTCAAAATAATATTATACACCTACTATGTACCACAAAACTTAAAACAAAAAAAATATATATTGGGCTGGACATGGTGGCTCAGGCCTGTAATTCCAGCACTTTGGGACTTTGGGAAGTTGAGGTGGGAGGACTGCTTGAGCCCAGGAGTTTGAGACCAAGCTCAGCCTGGGCAATACATTGAGATCTCATGTCTTTAAAAAAAAAAAAAGCCGGGCGCGGTAGCTCAAGCCTGTAATACCAGCACTTTTGGGAGGCCGAGGCGGGTGGATCACGAGGTCAAGAGATCGAGACCATCCTGGTCAACATGGTGAAACCCCGTCTCTACTAAAAATACAAAAATTAGCTGGGCATGGTGGCGCACGCCTGTAGTCCCAGCTACTAGGGAGGCTGAGGCAGGAGAATTGCTTGAACCCAGGGGGCGGAGGTTGCGGTGAGCCAAGATCGTGCCATTGCACTCCAGCCTGGGTAACAAGAGCAAAACCCTGTCTCAAAAAAAAAAAAAAAAAAGTAAGGGCAGGGTGCGGTGGCTCAAGCCTGTAATCCCAGCACCTTGGGAGGACGAGGCGGGTGGATCACGAGGTCAAGAGATCGAGACCATCCTGGTCAACATGGTGAAACCCCGTCTCTACTAAAAATACAAAAAATTGGCTGGGCATGGTGGCACGTGCCTGTAATCCCAGCTACTCAGGAGGCTGAGGCAGGAGAATTGCCTGAACCCGGGAGGCAGAGGTTGTGGTGAGCCGAGATCGCGCCATTGCACTCCAGCCTGGGTAACAAGAGTGAAACTCCGTCTCAAAAAAAAAAAAAAAAAGTAAAAAGAAAAAATATGTATTAATTTTTCTTTAATAGCAGATATCATTTGATTCCCTAAGACAGTTTCTTTGCATAGTGACACTCTACTATAAATGTATTCGCTTACATTTTATAAGTTGAGAGGTAATAGTCTACACAAAAAGTTATGCTACAGACACATATGGCTTAAAACCAAGACTCAACCCTCTGACAATTACAAAACACTGAAATCAAGATGTTACTAAAAGTCAGTGCAAAAGCTATCATTCTCTCGTAAGGAGAAGGCTTTGAAGGGGTTCACATTCTTCCCAAAAGAAATTTAGAGTCCTCTAGCTATTATCTATCAACCAAATAAAAATCAATAGGCAGCAAAAAAAAATTAACCAGATCCATTATGGGCACAGTGACCTAACTGGTAGGTATTGTCTGATAAATAACTTTGTTTACCAAGGGCCATCATTTACTAGCCATAGCTACCCACACCAGTGTTTACGTTCTGCACAATACTGCCATGAAGGTCAGGCCATCTTTCTTTCATGTTGCCTCACTCCATACTGCCACAGGGCACTGAAATAATGCAGGCTAGAGAAGTTAATGACATCCTCCTCTTTTGCCACCACCCTCTGCCAGGATCATTAGCAATTCTGACCTGATTAATTGCTGAAATCTCAGCCTTGAAACAGTGTTCAGTTAGAGCAATGCTGAACGCTGAAAGATCATCTTAATATGGGCTTCAGAATTAATCATGTGTAATACAGTCAGTGGCTTTCATCATAAATTTACCACACTTCACCAAGTCTGAATAGAGCTCAAAATTTTCCTCTTTGCTTGTTTAAAGACAACATGTACCCAAGCCACTTGTAGTCTAATCTTCAGCTCAGAATTGCCCTTGGCAAAAAAGATTAGACCATTTCAGACATTTCTTAAAAGCTGAGCTTGCAAAACAAAGGGATAAAGAATGCTAATTTTCAATGAATACATACAGAATTCTGTAAGTGATCAAGAGCCACTGAAACAGACACAGGTAAGAGCTTTCAGAGAAAGTTGTTGGTCTGGACATGGGACTATGAGATGAAAACATTTATAGCCATCACTGTGCACTTACTTGTATCTACCAGGGCAGCCACAGCTTGCTTTACCCTTTTAGTGGTGGGATACAACTGGCCACAGAGATGTTATGCTAAGTCACTATCTATGAAGAATTCCAGGAAGGATATATTAAGAAAGATATTTCAGAATGACTTGGTCATCTCTCAGTGTGCAATAAATGACACCCACTACTGAATCCATTTGATACTCTGGTATGTTATCTCACCGTAGTTTTTTTTTTTTTTTTTTTTTTTAGTTTTAAAGAAATATTCATGTAATTTTTTTTTAATGAAGTAATGCCAATGACAATTAATAGTGGTAAACATCTCAGGATGTCTGAAATCTACAAAGAGCGCAAGCAGAAAGGAGGTGTTACTGGTTTTCTGGTTTTTTTTTTTTTTTTTTTTTTGAGACAGAGTCTCGCTCTTTGCTCTTTCGCCAGGTGCCAGGCTGGAGTGCAGTGGTGTGATCTCGGCTCACTGCATGCTCCGCTTCCTGGCTTCAAGCAATTCTCCTGCCTCAGCCTCCCGAATAGCTGAGACTACAGGCACGTGCCACCATGCTCAGCTAATTTTTGTATTTTAGTAGAGACGGGGTTTCACTATATTGGCCAGGGTGGTCTTGATCTCTTGACCTAGTCATCCGCCCACCTCAGCCTCCCAAAGTGCTGGGATTATAGGCATGAGCCATCGCGCCTGGCTGGTGTTACTGGTCTTAATATCTTAATGAGTATTTTTCCACATTGTGAAGTAATTCCCATTCTGGCATTAAGGGCCCAAGGTGATGCTAAAATCCTAATAGCAAGGGGTGTTGCAGAGCAGAAGTGACAGGTCAGGCTATTGAATAACTGTCTTACAAGCCAAGATAAAAACAAATACTAGAGAAATGCTACTGTCTGGCAGTACGTTTGGAACCAGTCTGAATTTAGTTAAACATGCTGGTAAGTTCACTTAGAAGTGAGCCAAGGGGGAAAAAAAGATGCCTTCTGGGGAATGAAGCTATACCTACTTGCTTTTATAGATAAAAATGAAAACTCAAATTCAAAAGTCCTATATCATACCCAAAGTATAGCTTTTCCGCCAATATTTAATAATACATATGGATATACTCACAAATTCTTCTGGGGTCAAGCCTGACACTACCATGGACATTCTTTTGTTGACCCTTTCTGTTGAAGCTGCCAGTTCTGGCTTCTTCCTGCTCACACTTTCATCCACTGCATTACACCCAGCAGTATTAGTAGTATGAGCAGCAGCTAGACTCTTGGCACATTCTGCAACTTGAAACTGGGGTACTTTCAATGCAGAGGTTGAAGATGGTATGCTGCCAGCATGAGATGATTCTGGGGCTCTGTCTTCAGAAGGATCAGATTCAGGGTCATCAGAGAAGAGGCTGATTCCAGATTCTAGGTAAGGGGTTCCCTCTGAAAGAAATGGGAGAAGTTTAATTTACACAACAATGAATGTTGAATTACAAAGTTCTGTTCCCTGCTAAGAATTAAAAAGACCAATTAAGTTAGATTAAGAGAAAAATGGGTACATGAATACAATGTTGGTGGAAATGCAAAGTAGCTTAATTTCCTAAAAAGGAAATACGGCATTATGTACCAAAAACCTTAACATGTGATTGCACTGCCAGGTAACAATGCTAGTTTTAGAAATATATCTCAGGGATAGAAAAGATGTACGCAAAGGTGTAGTCATAGGAATGTTCACGATAACACCGCTTATAATAGTATAATTTTAGAAACAATCTGAATGTCCAACAATAGGACATGAAATTATGATATATCTAGTCCAATGGAATACTCTTCACCCATTAGTTTGAATATAAAAGTTGATGTACAATAAAACAGAAATGTTACTATTAAAGTAGATACCTAAGCAATATTATTATCATGACATTATTTTAAAAATAGAAGTTTACAGGCCGGGCGCGGTGGCTCACGCCTGTAATCCCAGCACTTTGGGAGGCCGAGGCGGGTGGATCACGAGGTCAAGCGATCGAGACCATCCTGGTCAACATGGTGAAACACCGTCTCTACTAAAAATACAAAAATTAGCTGGGCATGGTGGCACGTGCCTGTCGTCCCAGCTACTAGGGAGGCTGAGGCAGGAGACTTGCTTGAACCCAGGAGGCGGAGGTTGCGGTGAGCCGAGATCGTGCCATTGCACTCCAGCCTGGGTAACAAGAGCGAAACCCCGTCTCAAAAAAAAAAAAAAAAATAGAAGTTTACGTAAAATGACTGAAGAAACACATCGATATTTTATTATGAAAGAATAAGAGTACAGGTAATTTTATTTTATTTTTTTGAGACAGAGTCTTGGTCTGTCACCCAGGCTAGAGTGCAGGGGCACAAATATGGCTCACCTGCAGCCTTGACCTCCTGGACTCAAGTGATCTTCCTGCCTCAGCCTCCTGAGTAGCTGGGACCACAGGTGTCTGCCTTCCAGCTAATTTTAACCTTTTTTTTTTTTTTTTTAAAAAAAAAAAAAAAAGACAGATTCTCCTTCTGTTGCCCGGGCTGGAGTGCAGTGGAGCGATCTCGGCTCACTGCAACCTCTGCCTCCCTGGTTCCAGCGATTCTCCTGTCTCAGCCTCCCGAGTAGCTGGGACTACAGGCACCTGCCATCATGCCCAGCTAATTTTTTTGCATTTTTAGTAGGGAAGGGGTTTCACCGTGTTAGCCAGGATGGTCTTGATCTCCTGACCTTGTGATCCGCCTGCCTCAGTCTCCCAAAGTGCTGGGATTATAGGCGTGAGCCACTGTGCCTGGCTTAATTTTTTAACTTTCTGTAGAGATCAGGTCTCATTTCATTGCCTTGGCTGGTCTTAAACTCTTGGCCTTGAGCAGTCCTCCCACCTTGGCCTCCCAAAGTATTGGGATTACAGGCATGAGCCACTGCACCTGGCCTTATTTTATCTTTTTTTTTTTTTGAGGTGGAGTTTCGCTCTTGTTACCCAGGCTGGAGTGCAATGGCGTGATCTTTGGCTCACTGCAACCTCTGCCTCCTGGGTTCAGGCAATTCTCCTGCCTCAGCCTCCTGAGTAGCTGGGATTACAGGCACGAACCACCATGCCCAGCTAATTTTTTGTAATTTTAGTAGAGACGGGGTTTCACCATGTTGACCAGGATGGTTTCGATCTCTTGACCTTGTGATCCACCTGCCTCGGCCTCCCAAAGTGCTGGGATTACAGGCTTGAGCCACCGCGCCCGGCCCTTATTTTATCTTTTAAGAGGTAGCATCTTAGTTTGGTAAAGTGGCTTACGCCTGTAATCCCAGCATTTTGGGAGGCTGAGGCAGGGAGACCGCATGAGGCCAGCAGTTAGAGACCAGCCTGGGCAACATAGCAAGACCCCATCTCTAATCCCCACCCCAAATTATCTTCTTTATTCCCTATATTGTCCAATTTGGGGGCAATGAGCATATAGCAATTTTGTAAGAAAGGGAAAAAAAAAGTTGAATAATGTAAATACTTTATTTTTGTTTCTTCATCCAAGGTAATGACACCATTACTTTTTTCACTTAATAAATCAACAGATATAATTACCAAATTAAGAAGAGCAGAGACCTCCAAACATTTCAGAAAATGTCATGCTATCAGGAATTAAGCACAGCTAAGTAGAATGTATGAGATGCCTAAAATGACCCTAATGAGCATGGCCAAATACCACATTTGATGTCAGAGAGTGCCTTTTATAATAATGTGTTTTTGAGGATTAATTAAAAACTTTCTTTACTGATTAAAACTTTGATTTACAAGCCATAAAACACCATTCGTTAAAAGTGATTTATAAGGCATAAAATATATAGTCATTTATATTCATTAACTCATAAAAAAGATTGCTTTGGGATTTGACTCATTTTCCAATAAAGGACCAGCCTAAATACGGCCTTAGGACTCTTGTCTAACAGTTGAAATTTAAAAAAAAAAAAAAAAATGTATTTTTAAGAATGGAGTCTTACTCTGTCGCCCAGACTGGAGTGCAGTGGTGTGATCTTGGCTCACCACAACCTCTACCTCACAGGTTCAAGTGATTCTCCTGCCTCGGTCTCCCAAGTGGCTAGGATTACAGGCATACACTACCACACCCAGTTAATTATTTTATATTTTTAGTAGAGACAGGGTCTCACCATGTTGGCGAGGCTGGTATTGAACTCCTGACCTCAAGTGATCCACCCACCTTAGCTGAAATATTTAGAGCACAAGACTCCTTTGTCCTCAAAATTATTAGTTAAAACGTTAATTAAAATACAGATGGATTAACAGCTCCAATAATTTTGAAGTAAACCTGGATTAACACTTGAGTTATTTTTCTAAAATGGGCTTAAGTATAACAAAAGTATCCGTGATAGACTAGTACATCTAAAAGTTGGTTAACTAGAATATCTTTATGTAGGATTGAGAGTAAAATCAAAGTGTTTGTTCCACTAGAGCAGATGAAATATTACCTAGATCGTGCCTTGGCAAGTAAGATGGTTCCATTAAATCATGTGGCCCAGACTTTTCCAGTTGTTGCTCCTCCATATCAACCTTAATAAGCTCCTCTTGAGATGGGTAGTTTCCATTCTGAAGACTCCCAGAGCAACTGTGCATGCACCACCTATCATCTAATGACTGGCATTTGGAAGGGGATGACCTAGAAAGATGAATGGAAGGAGAAAACCATCACCACCAACTGTGAAAGGACAAATCATACTTCCTGGGCAGCCAAAGCATAAATGAAATAGCTCGTGTCAGAGAGATCAGAAATGACTGGCAAAAAAGAGCCCACATGACAGCCTAGAAGTCTGGATTCATGTTGCCTGCCAATATGTCAGAGTTGACATATAACATCTCCCCTAGGGGTTGGGTTGGTCTGAGGCACTGTATCTGCTAGCTGTTTAAAAGCAGGTCAGTTGCTGGGTGTGGTGGCTTGTGCCTGCAATCCCAGCTACTCGGGAGGCTGAAGCAGGAGAAATGCTTGAACCTGGGAGGCGGAGGTTGCAGTGAGCTGAGATTGCACCACTGTACTCCCTCTTGGGCAACAGAGCTAGACTCTGCTCCCCTCGGCCACCAAAAAGAAAAAGAAAAGAGAAAGAGAAAGAATAAAAGCAGGTCAGCAAATTTTTACGAAAGTACTCACTGCCACTCACTCTAGACAGAATATTCTACTTGAGTCTAAATGGGTATGTTAGAATCGTATCTCTTATGAACATAGAAAGCTGATCAATGTTGACATCTCTACACTCATTCTTTCTACTCAGTTTTAGAAGAATTTATAGAATCATCCCTATTCCCTGACTTTTCAATGTTCAAATTCATTCTTTTGTTTTGTTTTTTTTTTGAAATGGAGTCTAGCTGTGTTGCCCAGGCTAGAGTGCAGTGACACTATCTCGGGTCACTGCAACTTCTGCCTCCTAGGTTCAAGCGATTCGCCTGCCTCAGCCTCCCTAGTAGCTGGGATTATAAGTACCTATCACCACAACCAGCTAATCAGTAGAGATGGGGTTTCATTGTGTTGGCCAGGCTGGTCTTGAACTCTTGACCTTGTGATCTACCTGCCTTGGCCTCCCAAAGTGCCGGGGTTACAAGTGTAAGCCAACGCACCCGGCCCCAAATTCATTCTAAAAACAAAAGCCATGTTGTTAGAAAAGCATATACAACCAGTATGTGTACTTTTCCAAGTGTTTATTAGGACTTTGCAAAATAAGATACTTATCAATAGATTTAAAGAGCCTCGCCGGGCGCGGTGGCTCAAGCCTGTAATCCCAGCACTTTGGGAGGCTGAGGCGGGTGGATCACAAGGTCAAGAGATCGAGACCATCCTGGTCAACATGGTGAAACCCTGTCTCTGCTAAAGATACAAAAAAAAAATTAGCTGGGCATGGTGGCACGTGCCTGTAGTCCCAGCTACTCAGGAGGCTGAGGCAGGAGAATTGCTTGAACCCGGGAGGTGGAGGTTGCGGTGAGCCGAGATCGCGCCATTGCACTCCAGCCTGGGTAACAAGAGTGAAACTCCATCTCAAAAAAAAAAAAAAAAAAAAAAAAGAGCCTCAGAGGTTAATTAATTAATTTAAACAATATTAGGTGCTTACTATGGGTCAAATACTAAGGCTAGGCCCCGTGGATTGAAGATGAGTGAGACCTGAATTACTGCTCTGAAGTAATCTAATAGAGGGAGCAAGTTTGATCAATGTGTAGGTTGTATGACAGAAATCTCTGTAGAGTATCTCTAGAATGAGGAAGAGCAGGAATATTTGGTCTGAATATTAAATGGAGAAGTAGCTTATTTGGTAAAAGCATGCTCATAAGGTCATTACCTCTGCACATGGCTTTAGTGACAACTGAAGCTAGATCTTTTCATTCTCTGTCATAGCCACAGTACCCAAGCCTCAAAAATATATTCTCAGTCAAGTCCAAGGGGCTTGAAAAAGATGGTGTAATGATATTATTGACAACCTGCCACCATTCCCAAAAAGATAAGTAGAAAAATATATACATGTAGTAGGAACTCAAGAAGAAACATGAGAACACGAGTTTCTCTTTTTTTTTTTTGGAAAGAGTTTCATTCTTGCTGCCCAGGCTGGAGGGCAAAGGCATGATCTTGGCTCACCGCAACCTCTGCCTCCTGGGTTCAAATGATTCTCCTGCCTCAGCCTCCCAAGTAGCTGAGATTACAGGCATGTGCCACCATGCCTGGTTAATTTTGTATTTTTGTACAGACGCGATTTCCCCATGTTAGTCAGGCTGATCTCGAACCCCCGACCTCAGGTGATCCGCCTGCCTCAGCCTCCCAAAGTGCTGGGATTACAGGCGTGAACCACCCCGCCCAGCTAAGAAACATGAGTTTCTTTACCTTACTAGAATGGTAAAATGCGTGAATCTAATAGCTCTATGTCTCTCTTTCCTGAATTACGAAACAGAATTAACAATAGTCTTGAACTTGTCCTTTTAATAGCAATCTTATTAAAAGGATCTTAGGAGGAAATAGATAAAGTATTTAAAAAAACATAAAGTGCTGGCCAGGCATGGTAGCTCATGCCTGTAATCCTAGCACTTTGAGACCAGTCTGGTCAACATAGCAAGACCCCATCTTACATGGGAGGCTCAGGAGTTTGAGACTAGTCTGGTCAACACAGCAAGCCCCCCTATCTCTACAAAACAAAATAGGAAAAAAATAAACTAAACTGAAATAAAGTGGTATTGCTATACAGACCTGTATCAATAGTGGTATAAATACACATCTCTTAAAGATATTCTAAATGTTTTCTGGCTTTGGGAGGCCAAGGCAGGCAGACTATGTGAGTTCAGGAATTTGAGACCAGCCTGGGCAACAAGGTAAAACTCTATCACTACCAAAAATACAAAAACTCAGCTGGGCATGGTTTTGTGGACCCAGCTACTCAGGAGGCTAAGGTGGGAGGATTGCTTTGCTTGAGCCTGAAAAACAGAGGATGCAGTGAGACATGATTGCACCACTACACCCCAACCTAGGTGATAGATAAATACCCTATCTCAAAAAATAATAATTACTTTCTGTGGTAAATCAACAGCTAGACTTTTTCTAGAAAGAATTTCAATTAGGGTAAGGGCTGTCTTGAAGAGACATCCCTACCATCAACTTTCAAGCTTGTTCAGGTTTTAGTTCCATTATATTTTTTTCTGGCCTTCAGAAGGGACACATCTACCTAACTACACATTTCTTACGTTGTAGCTTATGTTATAGGTCCAAAAAGCCTACATACAATCAAACAAAAGAAGTATCCTAGAGCAATGAAAGGTTATAAATGTCCGTATACAAAAAACTGGAGAAAGTATGGTGAAAAAAATTAACAGTAAGAGTTCAATATAAATAAAGATGTCAGATATCACAACATCTTTGCATTGATGTTTCTTACCTTTCCACTCCTGGTTCTTTATTTTTACTGGTAGAACTATCTGGAGACACCTCAAGCTTGTCAGCAGAAAGGCCTTCTGGATTCTGGCTTATACGATATTCACTATTTTTCTGTGAAGTTAATACTGCTTTAAATGGAATGAGAAAACAAATCTACTTTACTGCTTTGTCTTGATAGTGATAATTCAGGTTAGAATTTTGATTTTTTCAAAAGCATCAATCTGTAATACACAAACTGGTTTTTAAACAAGTATATCAGGCAGAATTTTATAAACATAAGTAATGCAACAGACATGCCAGCATCAAATGGAACTCAATGATTAAAAAATAATAATGATAGGTCAGGCGCGGTGACTCAAGCCTGTAATCCCAGCACTTTGGGAGGCCGAGGCGGGTGGATCACGAGGTTAAGAGATCGAGACCATCCTGGTCAACATGGTGAAACCCCGTCTCTACTAAAAACACTAAAAATTAGCTGGGCATGGTGGCGTGTGCCTGTAATCCCAGCTACTCAGGAGGCTGAGGCAGGAGAATTGCTTGAACCCAGGAGGCGGAGGTTGCGGTGAGCTGAGATCGCGCCATTGCACTCCAGCCTGGGTAACAAGAGCAAAACTCTGTCTCAAAAGAAAAAAAAATAATAAAAATAATAATAATAATGATAATAAAAGGAAAACTTTAAGACAGGGTAAATAAAGACACCTAGCTGAGACAAGACTGAAAAAAAATGTGCATTCCTTGGCCCTGAATTTTATATATATATATATATATATATATATATATATATATATATGAAATTTTTATCTCTGTAGCAACATAATTATGCCCAAATCCCCTGAGATAATAGGAAAGAAAGAGTACTGGAAAGCACAAAGTATATTCTTTTCTATATCTCCACTGCCTCCACATCAAAGACTGTAAGATGAGGTTTCAGCTTCTGCATGTGGGGGGTAAACAAGACAAGAGTGTCAGATGAGAAAGAAAAAACAGGTGACATTTTTACTTCACATTTTCAATTACTGGAAAAAAAGAAAAAGAAAACCAAATAAATAAACCCCTAAACAAACACATACAAAAAAAAAAAAAACAAAAACCCAAGGTGCTGGTTGATAAGAAATCTTAAGTAATACATGGAACTGAAGATGAAATGGCACAAGAAAGGAAAAAACACAAAACATACTGAAGGCAAAATTCTGGCATATTACTTCATTCTTTTTTTTTTTTTTGAGATGAATTCTCACTCTGTCACCCAAGCTGGAGTGCAATCTCGATTCACTGCAACCTCTACCTCCCGCGTTCAAGCGATTCTCCTGCCTCAGCCTCCTTATCAGCTGGGATTACAGGCGCCCACTACCATGTCCAGCTAATTTTGCTTTGTATTTTTAGTAGAGATGGGGTTTCACCATGTTAGTCAGGCTGGTCTCAAACTCCTGATTTCAGGTGATTGACCTGCTTCAGCCTCCCAAAGTGATATATATATATATATATATATATGAATTCCTCCAAATGTATCACTGTGTCATTGCCTCTAGGAAGTATCTTAAAGGCAGAAGTTATTTATTTATTTTATTTTTTTAAGAGATGGGGTCTTGTTATGTTGACCAGGGTGGTCTCAAACTCTTTTTTTCTTGAGATGAAGTCTTGCTCTGTCACCCAGGCTGGAGTACAGTGGTGTGATCTCGGCTCACTGCAAACTCCACCTCCAGGTTCAAGTAATTCTCCTGCTGTAGCCTCCTGAGAAGCTGGGATAATAGGTGCCTGCCACCACCCTCAGCTAATTTTTTAATTTTTTTTTGTAGAAACGGGGTTTCACCATGTTGCAGGCTGGTCTTGAACTCCTGACCTCGGCTGATCCACCAGCCTTGGCCTCCCAAAGTGCTGGGATTATAGGCATGAGCCACCATACCTACCCTGGTCTCAAACTCTTGAGCTCAAGTGCTGGGATTACAGGTGTGAGCCATCATGTCCGGCCAAGGCAGAAATATTTAATAAGTAAAAACAAATAGTTAAAAGTTGCAAATGTCTTCTATTCATTAAAAAGTCCCTGATGACTGTAATTCATTTTGAGCTTTTATTAGAAAAGCTAAAGGTCATAAATTTAGGTAGAAAATTGAAACAAAAGATTGTATTAATTAACCTGTTTTTTTTTTTTTTTTTTGAGACGGAGTTTCGCTCTTGTTACCCAGGCTGGAGTGCAATGGCGCGATCTCGGCTCACCGCAACCTCCGCCTCCTGGGTTCAGGCAATTCTCCTGCCTCAGCCTCCTGAGTAGCTTGGATTACAGGCACGCACCACCATGCCCAGCTATTTTTTTTGTATTTTTAGTAGAGATGGGGTTTCACCATGTTGACCAGGATGGTCTCGATCTCGACCTTGTGATCCACCCGCCTCGGCCTCCCAAAGTGCTGGGATTACAGGCTTGAGCCACCGCGCCCGGCCAATTAACCTGTTTTTTAAGACACTGGGTAGCCTTGGGGGAAATAATCATTGATTTCCTGGGTTAGTTTTCAAATGCATTATTTATAGTTTCCTTTATGCTTGCCTTTTCTGGACCTGTGAGTTTCTTGGATTGTAAGAACTCTGCCTGAGGCTACCAGCTGTTCAAAGTAAGCAGGATCTAACTATGAAGAGAGGTATCATCCTCCCCAACTCCAATACAGGGTGATAATTGATAAAGAGTAATGTGCAGTTTTCAAGAAATCATATCAAATGAATTAACCATCAGAACGAGTTAAAAGAAAAAAAAGTGGCTGGGCATGGTGGCTCATGCCTGATATCCCAGTACTTTGGGAGGCTGAGGTGGGGGGAGGATCACCTGGGGTCAGGAGTTTAAGACCATCCTGGCCAACATGGTGAAACTCTTTCTCTACTAAAAATACAAAAAATAGCTGGACATGGTGGTGAGCGCCTCTAATCCTAGCTACTTGGGGGGATGAGGTGAGATAATTGCTTGAACCAGGGAGGCAGAGGATGCAGTGAGCCGAGATAGTGCCATTGCACTCCAGCCTGGGCAAAAAAAGCGAAACTCTTGTCTCAAAAACAAACAAACAAACAAAAAACAGTGAAAGGCAGAGAGAAGGTTCAGATACAAACACAGCTATATATATATATATTTTTTTTTTTTTGAGACAGAGTCTCGGTCTGTTGCCAGGCTGGAGTGCAGTGGCGAGATCTCGGCTGACTTCAACCTCTGCCTCCCGGGTTCAAGCGATTCTCCTGCCTCAGTCTCCTGAGCAGCTAGGACTACAGGTGCCTGCCATCACCCCCAGCTATTTTTTGTATTTTAGTAGAGACAGCATTTCACCATGTCGGCCAGGATGGTCTTGATCTCTTTACCTCCTTATCTGCTTCCTTGGACTCCCTAAGTGCCAAGATTACAGGTGTGAGCCACCATGTCCAGCCATATTTGCTTTTTGAATGACAGGAAATCCAGGAGAAAATAAAACAAAGTGTCTATCTAACATGAAGTAGCTTTATCTGTGGGGACAGGTACATACAATTTATAATGGGTAAGTATACACATTTGTACCCAAATATTATGCAGACTTAGGAAGTAACCTTAGATAAATAATAGGACAAATCTATGCTGAAGGGTAGGACATTGATGTAAAGACTGTAAAGAAAAGAAACTTTTTATCATATTTATGAATACTGGATCTTAAAAAATAAAAAACTAATGAAATCCAAGCAAATTAGAGTTTCACTCATCAATAGCCATGAATGAATTCTTGGTTTCTTAGTTTTGATAAAAGTACCATGGTAATGTAAGATAACATTAGGAAGAAACTAAAGCATGCAGGAATTCTCTGTACCATAATTTCAACTTTTCCATAAATCTATTAAAAAATAAAAAGTTTATTAAAAAAAAAAAAGCAAGCTTGGGCAACATAACAAGACTCCATCTCTACCAAAAATAAACAAAATTAGCGGGATGTGGTGGTACACACCTGTACCTATAGTCCCAGCTACTCAGGAGGCTAAGGCAGGAGGACGCTTGAGCCTAAGAGTTCCAGGCTGCAGTGAGCTGTTATCAGGCCACTGTATTCCAGCCGAGAAAAGCCATGAGTATAGCAGAAGGTAACAATAGCACAGTATCTTTTATTTTTTTTTTAGATGGAGTCTCTGTCACCTAGGCTGGAGTGCAGTGGCTTGATCTCAGCTCACTACAACCTTCACTTCCCAGGTTCAAGAGATTCTCCTGCCTCAGCCTTCCAAGTAGCTGGGATTACAGGCATGCATCACCATGCCTGGCTAATTTTTGTATTTTTAGTAGAGACAGGTTTTCACCATGCTGTTCAGTTTGGTCTGGAACTAAGGGCCTTGTGATCCACCCACCTCAGCCTCCCAAAGTGCTGGGATTACAGGAGCCACCACGCCCAGCCAACAATACTCTTTTTATTAGACATTGTAGCCAGGTGCCATGGCTTACACTTGCAACCCCAGCACTTTGGGAGTCTGAGGTGAGAGGATTGCTTGAGTCCGGGAGTTTGAAACCAACTTGGGAAACAGGGAGACCTTGTCTCCACAAAAAATTTTAAAAATTAGCTGGCTATGGTGGTGCATGCCTATAGTCCCAGCTACTTGGCAGGTTAAGGCAGGAGGACTGCTTGAGGAGGTTGAGACTACAGTGAGCTGTGGTTATGCCGCTGCCCTCCAGCTTGGGGAACAGAGTAAGACCCTGCCTAAAATGTGAGGCTGAGGTATGGCAGGATTGCTCAAAACCAGGAGTTCAAGATCAGCCTAGTTAACATCAAGTCCCTGTCTCTACTTAAAAAAATTAAAGAAAATATTATTTTTAAAAAGTTCAGCTGGGCGCAGTGGCTCAGGCCTGTTATCCCAGCAGTTTGGGAGGCTGAGGTGCGTGGCTTACGAGGTCAAGAGATAGAGACCATCCTGGCCAACATGGTGAAACCCTGTCTCTACTAAAAATACAAAAATTAGCTGGGCGTGATGGCACATGCCTGTAGTCCCAGCTACTTGGGAGGCTGAGGCCAAATAATCGCTTGAACCCAGGAGGCGGAGGTTACAGTGAGCCGAGATTGCACCACTGCACTCCAGCTTGGAGACAGAGCAAGACTCAAAAAAAAAAAAAAAAAAAAAAAAATCATTTGAATTTCAGTTAGACTCACACCAGATTTAGGAAGAAAAAGGCTCAAAACTTAAGTTGGTATTAAGTTGTGATATCCAAAACGTTTCAGAAATGAAGCATTTCTCTTATAGATCTCCAGGAAAAAATAAACAAACATATACAACAAAGAGGAGATAGATTTATACAGATATTCAAAGTCAGACAATAATTAACATTTTATATCTTACCCATTAGAACTGAAAGTCTAGTCTGTTTTTAGAATGAAGATGGTGAAAGTACCCCAAAGAAGAGTTTTATACTGGAGATGGGACTCTGAACTCTCATTATCTGAGAGATGAACTAAATGAAGATAGTTACAAAGAAAGCATTTAAGGAAATACATTTTGAAGCACTGCTATAGCAAGAGTTTCCAGCTAGCTTTTCATGCATGAGCTACTGTTTCTTCCTGAACACAAATACTGCAAGGCACAACTGGGGACCAAGGCCACTGTTCTGTATACATAACAGACTTGGGTTCCTAGAAAGACTCAAAGGAAGGCCTTAAGGTCCCCAGGTGGACTGTGGAACAGGGTGCTGAGGAAGAAACTTTAAGACTCAGATAGGAATCACTGAGATAGGAATGAAGTGTACTTTGGGAGGAGTCACCACCCCTGCCTGTTTCCAGGCAGCATCCTGGTGGGGACCCCGTGCCTAGCCTCTCCTATGTGTCTATGTGATTGTCCCTGGCTGATGTGTTGTCTTTCCAATTAAAAACTCAAATTTCCATCTCACTGTCCTTCATTTATGCCATGATTCCACAGCTCAGTGCCCACTTCTTATAGGAAGTCAGCTCTGATCAACTATACCTGCCTGGTGACTCCAATGGCATCCTCTCAGAGGTCCACCTGGATTCTTCTGATAACTACAACATTGTTATAAAGCACTTGACTCTACTGCATAATTAGGCTTTCTGTGTTGTTCTTTTCTTTTTCTTTTGAACTAACAGGAGCTCTGCATAACTAGGCTTTCTGTGGATGAAAGTGCAGTTCCTGAAGTATAGGATGTCTCTTCCTATAAATCAGAAGCACATTAAATAAGTCATTGTCATGTGATACCAGTGTTACAAGAAACATGCTTGAATATTTTTTCATAGCTTTCTGAAATTATGGGGTTGCCTGTCACTAATTTCTCACATTCCACTTAGCTTTCAATAGAGCAAGAGCTATGTTGTATACCATCGATCTTCCGTGGGCTCTCCATAGCATCTGCTTGTTGTAGGTACTCAGATGACAACGTGAATGACTGCCTTGGGTCCCTCTGACTGGTAAATTAGTTGCGAGCAGGGACAAGAACCAAGGCTCCATAATTACTCATGTGTTGAGCAAGGATCATAAAATGTTGGAGCTAGGTCCTTAGTTTTCAGGAGATAAAGGGGAGGAAAAAAAATTTTGCTTAAGATATGAGTGTTTGGACAATATTACACACCTTTTTCTGATGTGCTTTGTTCTGGATTTCGAAGGTCCTCAAGGGCAGAAGAGTCAGTTATGACGGAAGGGGAGCTGTGAGAAGGCTGGCTCCCATGCTGTTCTAACACAGCTTCTAGTTCAGCCATTTCCTGCTGGAGCTTTATCAGATTATCTTGCATGGTATCCCTCTGCTGCAGAAACAATAAATGGCACCAAGAAAATGAAATACTTTTGAGAAGCTTTCCACTAAATGAAAATATGTCATACAAATTAATTTTGGTACAGGAATTGAAATCATCTAGTATGGAACTATAAATTCTGGCTGAACAGCTTTTAATCCAACCACATTCATGCAATTAATGCCCGTGAAATTATTTCCAAATGATGTTAGTGAGGGAAGAATCCTTAAAACTACCACAAATAGACTTGACTTATCGTGATGTCCTTTTGAAGTTTTTTTTTTTTTGAGACAGAGTTTCGCTCTTGTTGCCCAGGCTGGAGTGCAATGGCATGATCTCAGCTCACCACAACCTCCATCTCCCGGGTTCAAGAGATTCTCCTGCCTCAGCCTCCCGGAGTAGCTGGAATTACAGGCATGCACCACCATGCCTGGCTAATTTTGTATTTTTAGTAGAGTTGGGATTTATCCATGTTGGTCAGGCTGGTCTCAAACTCCCAACCTCAGGTGATCGACCTGACTCAGCCTCCCCAAGTGCTGGGATTACAGATGTGAGCCACCATGCCCAGCTGAAGTTGGTTATTTTCTTTTAAAGCTAGGGAGTGAAAAAATAATTAAGGTATTTAAACACATTGATATTTAAAATTATCATGAATCTGTTAACATTTTATTTATACAGGCACACTTCAAAGATTTGGTGTTGTGAGAGTTATCAGATATTTAGGTTAGTTCATATAAAAATGTGTGATTTTTAGACTGATGTAATGGGGAAAAAAGCCCCCTCTCTATGGCATTTTACAAAAATACAAATATAAAAATACTATCAGTAATCCTGCCTAGATTACTGGCTTGGGAAGACTCGTCCTTTTCTAGGATTCTTTTTTTTTTTGAGAGGGAGTTTCGCCCGTTACCCAGGCTGGAGTGCAATGGTGCGATCTTGGCTCACCACAACCTCCGCCTCCTGGGTTCGGGCAATTCTCCTGCCTCAGCCTCCTCAGTAGCTGGGATTACAGGCACACACCACCATGCCCAGCTAATTTTTTTATATTTTTAGTAGAGGTGGGGTTTCACCACGTTGACCAGGATGGTCTTGATCTCTTGACCTTGTGATCCACCCACCTCGGCCTCCCAAAGTGCTGGGATTACAGGCTTGAGCCACCGCACCCGGCCTCTAGGATTCTTTGAAACTTCAGTTTGTTTTCTTTTTTGGGGCTCACTGCAACCTCTACCTCCCAGGTTCAAGCGATTTTCCCACCTCAGTCTCCCAAGTAGCTGGGATTACAGGGGCTAGCCATGATGCCCAGCTAATTTTTGTATTTTTAGTAGAGGCAGGGTTTCACCATGTTGGCCAGGCTGGTGTTGAACTCCTGACATCAAGTGATCCTCATACCTCAGCCTGCAGAAGTGTTAGGATTACAGGCCTGAGCCACTGTGCCTGACCCAAACCTTTCGTTTCTAACAGAAAAAGAAAAAAGCTAATTCATGAATCTATCTGCTCAATTAATTAGACAGTTATTTACCATCTATAAAGCACCAGGCACTGTCCTAGTACCGGGGATATAGCCCTAATGGTGCTGCCATTCTAGACAGGGACATCTTGTCTAGAATGTGTCTACCCAGAGATCATTAGCAAGGATCTGTGAGAGGGAAGGATTCAACAGAAAGAGCCCTAAGAAAGCCTGTAAGGATAGCTACTGTTTTGTTTTTGAGATGAGTTTTGCTCTTGTTGCCCATTCTGGAGTGCAATGGCATGGTCTTGGCTCACCGCAACCTCCACCTCCTGGATTCAAGCAATTCTCCTGCCTCAGCCTCCTGAGTAGCTGGGATTACAAGGCATATGCCACCACACCCATCTAATTTTGTATTTTTAGTAGCGATGGGGTTTCTCCATGTTGGTCAGGCTGGTCTCAAACTCCCAACCTCAGGTGATTTACCCATCTCAGCCTTACAAAGTGCTGGGATTACAGGCATGAGCCACTGTGCCAGCTAATAGTTAACTGTTTTTTTTAAATAATGGGTTCTTCTTGCTTGTGAGCTTCTGTTGTTTACTGCTCCATTTCAATGAAGAATGTATTAAGTCCAAGTATTTGATAAACAAAGAATTAAGGTATATAAGGAGTTGTCCAAAATATACTATTTTTTTTTGAGATGGAGTCTTCTTCTATCACCCAGACTGGAGTGCAATGGCATGATTTTGGCTCACTGCAACCTCTGCCTCCCGGGTACAAGTGATTCGCCTGCCTCAGCCTCCCCAGTAGCTAGGATTACAGGCGCATGCCACCACATTCAGCTAATTTTTGTATTTTTAGTAGAGATGGGATTTTACCATGTTGGTGAGGCTGGTCTCAGATTCATGACCCCAGGTGATTGATCCGCCTTGGCCCCCCAAAATGCTGAGATTACAGGAGTGAGCCACCATGCCTGGCCCAAAATATACTTTTTTTTTTTTTTGAGACGGAGTTTCGCTCTTGTTACCCAGGCTGGAGTGCAATGGCGCGATCTCAGCTCACTGCAACCTCCACCTCCTGGGTTCAGGCAATTCTCCTGCCTCAGCCTCCTGAGTAGCTGGGATTACAGGCACACGCCACCATGCCCAGCTAATTTTTTTTTTTTTTTGTATTTTTAGTAGAGACGGGGTTTCACCATGTTGACCAGGATGGTCTCGATCTCTTGACCTTGTGATCCACCCGCCTTGGCCTCCCAAAGTGCTGGGATTACAGGCTTAAGCCACCACGCCCAGCCAAAATATACTTTTAAAAAAACATTTTTTATTTTTATTTTTTGAGATGGAGTCTCGCTCTGTTGCCCAGGCTGGAGTGCACTGGTGCAATCTTGGCTCTCTGCAACCTCTGCCTCCTGGGTTCTCCTTGCCTCAGCCTCCCAAGTAGGTGAGATTACAGGTGCCTGTTATCACACCCAGCTAATTTTTATATTTTTAGTAGAGACAGGGTTTCGCCATGTTGGTCAGGCTGGTCTTGAACTCCTGATCTAAGGTGATCCATCTGCCTCGGCCTCCCAAAGTGCTGGGATTACAGCTGTAAGCCACCATGCCTTGCCTTAAAATCTACATTTTAAAATATCACTTTTAGAAAGAACATCAATGATTGCCAAAAAGTACAGTGGGTTGGGGGCAAGGGTGGGGCAGGAACACATTGTTTCACTCTCCATTTCTTCTTCTTCTGATCCTTGAAAGCAATTTAGCCCTCTACTAAAAACAAGCCATCTTTCTTTCTCCTGCTACAATGAGTTCATAGTTTTCAGGAGGTTTTTATGACCAGAAAATGTATCCCTAGCTTCACAAAGGTTTCCACTGCTACTCTGACATTGCTTTGCTGCCAATGTCTACAGCAACGCCACTGCCACCATGTGGTATTCATGAGTAGTTACATCACTGATCAAACCCTAGCCAAGGTCTTGCCTCAGTAAATCTGGAAGGAAAGCACACAGATGTGTGGCCAAAATCCTTCACAGGCTGTATTAGTCACTACTGTCACAACCATCACGTCTAACCTTTGTGTGGCCATTACATAAGTCAGAAAAAATAGTAGTGGGGTAATTATTAATAGATAAGTTTTCTTTGGCTTTCCCAAAATAATTATTTTTTATAACTTAGACAAATTCCCCAGCAGGCAAGTGACCAAATACATTAGGGAGAATAAAACCAACAGGTTACCGAGACTTTTTTTTTTTTTTTTTTTGAGACGGAGTTTCGCTCTTGTTGCCCAGGCTGGAGTGCAATGGCGCGATCTCGGCTCACCGCAACCTCCGCCTCCCGGGTTCAGGCAATTCTCCTGCCTCAGCCTCCTGAGTAGCTGGGATTACAGGCACACGCCACCATGCCCAGCTAATTTTTAGTATTTTTAGTAGAGACGGGGTTTCACCATGTTGACCAGGATGGTCTCGATCTCTTGACCTCGTGATCCACCCGCCTCGGCCTCCCAAAGTGCTGGGATTACAGGCTTGAGCCACCGCGCCCGGCCTGAGACTTCTTAATTCTAATTCTGAAGCGCTCTTTCAATGAGCTCTAGTCTTCTATTTATTTTTTTCTTTTTTTTTTTCTATTGAAAACAGTCCTGCCGTCTGGAGTGCAGTGGCATAACCTCAGGTCACTGCAACCTCCGCCTCCTGGGTTCAACTGATGCTCTTGCCTCAGGCTCCCGAGTAGCTGGAATTACAGGCCTGCACCACCACGCTTGGCTAATTTTTGGATTTTTAGTAGAGACGGGGTTTCACCATGTTGCCCAGGCTGGTCTTGATCTCCTGACCTCCTGATCCACCCACCTCAGCCTCCCAAAGTGCCAAGACTACAGGCGTAGGCCACCGCACCTGGCTTTCTATTCTAATTCTACTATGCTGCTCTAACCTCTACTTTTAATACAGCTACATTACTATAGAAGTTCCATAAAAGCCCTGTTTATTATGTCTTTTCCTTCCATAAAGACCTTAGTGTTACAGCCTGGCCATCACGGTGAAACCGTGGATGAGGCAGGAGAATCACTTGAACCTGGGAGGTGGAGGTTGCAGTGAGCCGAGATCGGGCCAGGGCACTCCAGCCTGGGCAACAGAGCAAGATTCTTCCTCAAAAAAGACCTTAGGCCGAGCGCGGTGGCTCAAGCCTGTAATCCCAGCACTTTGGGAGGCCGAGGCGGGTGGATCACGAGGTCAAGAGATCGAGACCATCCTGGTCAACATGGTGAAACCTCGTCTCTACTAAAAATACTAAAAATTAGCTGGGCATGGTGGCATGTGCCTGTAATCCCAGCTACTCAGGAGGCTCAGGCAGGAGAATTGCCTGAACCCAGGAGGCGGAGGTTGCGGTGAGCCGAGATCGCGCCATTGCACTCCAGCCTGGGTAACAAGAGCGAAACTCCGTCTCAAAAAAAAAAAAAAAAAAAAAAAAAAATGAGTAAGTATAGTTAATCAGTCTTCTGTAAAAACAAACAAAACTCCAGATACCAATGATACCAAATTAGGAGTTCTCCCTGGTCTATATAACTTTTCTTGGTTGAGTAC